CCGCCCTGCCAGCCACTCACCGAGCGAGGTGGACAGCGGGATGGCACTGGAGCGCGGCGGAGCCAAAGCTTGGCGCATGGCGGTGGCGGCGCGTTTCCAGCGCGCCTCCTCCAACCGTCCCCGGCACGAGGAGCCGGCAGGGCGCGCACAAGCTACCGGTCGCGGAGCATCCTCCCGCAGCGCTCCCGGTCGGCGCCGGCGGCTTGTGGCGCTTGCGCGAGGCGGGGGAAGAGAGCCTGACGGAGGCAGCTGCGCGCCCAGAGGCGGACGGGGTTGGTGGTGGTGATGGTGTCCCAGCTGTTGCGCCGATTCGCGGCCGGCTCGCTCCCCCCGACCTACCCACCCCGCGAGGTTGAGATGCGCCGGATTCCAGGGGTGGAAGAGCCTTGCGCTTCGATCCAGGGTCGGGAGGGTAGGTGGGCACGGAAAGGGGACGGGTTCTTTTGGATTCCGCCTCTGCAGAGGTGGGAGATGCCAAAGCCAAGGAAGGGGAGGGAAAAAACAACAACCCCAACCCTTCCCAAGTGCCAGAATTGCGCCTGGAATGCAAACTGCAGGCGCGCAAGCCCAAATTCCCAAAAAGGCAACGATCATAATAGATCTTGGCTCGGGAGATGAAAATGGTCTCCGAGACGCATCCGTGCCACGTTCAGCCAATCGAAGGTTTCAAGATTGTCGGCTTGGAGAAAGATCCTTCAAAACCTGCATTATTCGCCGGCCTTGCAGAAGGACAGGCCAACCTTTCCTTAAGAACGTATTTATTACGATCGTATAATTTGGGCTGCTTCCTCTGCTAGGAATATCTTAGGCCGGATTTATCTCGCCTGTCTTTTAATTTTTTATTTTTTTTTAAGGGTTGCGGTTTGCAATAAATGGCTCTTGGGCGTATTTTCGGATAAATGTGCAGGTTTAATGTAAAGAGGATTTTTAAAAAGCACTTAGGTTGGATGATATATGACTTATGGATTTTGATGTTCAAGGTCCAGCCTGAGCTACTTCCCATATAATTCGAAGAGGAGGAATCAGTTAGGAAAACATAAGGTCTCTGCAAAACAAACGTCTTTTTAAAGGAATATACAAAATCTATACATAAAAAAGCGAAATATACCTCACGCATCATCACAAAATCTCCAGAACCGTAAAGCCTACAAACTTGAAATTTGATGCTTATGTTCCTCTTGGCTTCTAGGTGCTCACTAAGAAAGGATTTTTTGAAATGACCATCAGAGCATTAGTATTTCCTATATTATTATTATTATTATTATTATTATTATTATTATTATTATTATTATTA